TGATACTTGTTCAAGGTCCGCTTATGAGTGAGGACCTAGGGTACTCTGTTCTTTGTTTCTGTGATAGATCACTGAGCATGATAGACTCCAAATCCATCCAAGTGGCTGCGAAGTCCATATATTTGTCCTTCTCTATGGCTGCATAAAATTCCATTATGTATATGTACCATATTTAAAATATCCAATCCAGCTTTGATGGGCAGCATGACTGGTTCCATGTTTTTGCTATTGTGAATAGAGCTGCAACAAACATATGTGTGCAGGTATCTTTTTTGTAGAATGATTTGAGTCCCAATGGGGGAATTGCTAGGCCATGTGGAAGGTCAATTAGAAGCCTTATTCTAAGCGAATTAATGCAGAAACAGAAAACCAAATACCACATGTTCTCACTTATATGTGGGAGTTAAACAAAGGATTCACACAGACATAAAGGTGGGAACAACAGACATTGGGGCCTCCCAAAGAGGGGAGCCTGAGAGGGGAGAAGGGCTGAGAAACTATCGACAGGGCACCATGTTCACGATTTGGGTGATGGGTTCACTAGAAGCTCAAACCTTACCATCATGCAACATATCCATGTAGTAAACCTGAATATATGTATAGCCCCTGAATCTAAATATATATATTCTCCTTGAATCTAAAATAAAATAAAGTAATAACAAAGAAGTTTATATAGATAGATGCAAATAAAAATTAAGAACCATAGGATATTTGGGGTCAAGCTAACTCCAGCCTCCTTGGCCTTCTAGAATTTACTGCAATAAATATTCCTGCCTTATGCAAAATAAAATAAAATAAAACTCTCAGTTGCAGTTACTCAATGTTACTCTTTCTTTTTTTTTTTGAGTTGTAGTCTCACTCTTGTCGCTCAGGCTGGAGTGCAGTGCCACGCTCACGGCTACCACAGCCTCCACCCGTTAGATTTAGGCGATCCTTCCGCCTCAGCCTTCCAAGTAGCTGGAACTACAGATGCATGCCACCACGTCTGGCTAGTTTTTGTGATTTATTGTAGAGATGAGGTCTCATCAAGTTGCCCAGGCTGGTCTCGAACCTCTGGACTTAGGAAATCCTCTTGCCTCGGCCTCCCAAAGTGCTGGGATTGCAGGCTGAGTCACCGTGTCCAGCCCAATGTTACTCTTTACTGTAATTTATGTATTTATTTATTTTTGAGTTGGGGTCTCCCTCCGTGGCCTGGGCTGGAGTGCAGTGGCACACTCACAGCCACCCCAGCATCGACCTGCTGGGCTCTGGCGATCCGTGCACTCCCACACCCGGCGTGCACGACCATGCCTGGCTAATTTTTTATTTATTGTAGAGACGAGTTGCCAGAGCTGGTCTCAAACCCGTGGGCTCAGGCAAATCACTCGCTTCAGCCTCTCAAAGTGCTGGGATTATAGACTGAGCCACTGAGTCCGGCCATGTTTTTTATTTTTTAAGAAAATATATTCTATAGCATAATCCTCCAAATTACAATAATTTATGTAAGTAAATTTCAACAATTATTAATAACTCTTTACCTTGCCTTCCCTAATTGTGAATTGGTTCTGTATTTAGCTTTTATATATACATTTAAAAAATATATTTTATATATATATTCCTTTCTGTCTTTGACTGTGTTTTTATCATTTTTAAAACATTTTATATATTTTATGATCTCGGGGGCCTTGTGGACCCAGAAAAGGACTGCTTCTCCCGGGGTCAGTGAATTTTTAGAGATAGCAAATATCCTGTCCACAGCATGCCTTTGATTTATAAGCTTATCTATCCAAAGTCCATCCTCCATTCCCTTCTTTCAAACTCTCACATGCCAGGTCAATACAATTGTCACTCCTTATCAATTTCGGAGATTGGGTTTCAGGACTCACTAAAGTTCACCATGCTTAAGTTTCTTTTATATTGTATAGTATTTGCACATAACCTATGCACATCTTCCTGGATACTTTAAATAATCTCTAGATCACTTATAATAGTTAATGCCATTTAAATGTTTGATAAATAACTATTATACTGCATTTTCAAGGGAATATTGACAGGAAAAAAGTCTGTATATGTTCAGCACAGATGTTTTTTTTCCTGAATATTTTCAATTCGTGTTGGATTGAATCCACCATGTGTCACAGATGGAGAGGGCTGATTGTATTCTCCCTGCCATAAAATCACTCTGGGGGCCAGTTACTGAACAAGTAGGGAACACCCCTGAGTCCAAAGTCCACTGAAATTCTTCCAACTCTCCATTCCTAGGCTTATTCAGGGTATCTACTACCTTGCTCATGCCTTCCCATGAGAAGTCTAATAAAGATTCTGCCCTAAGTTTCTTTTTACTCCTGCTGTCTGACCAAACCTAGTGCAACCTAGTGTGACCCCTGCGGTGTGGAGTACACCTCCTCTTGGAATTGTAACAGGTTATCTTTTCTCGGGCAGCCTGTTTCAGGACAACTTGACCTGCTGACCTCACCGTATCAGAATAAAAACAAAATCCTGGGTGAATTTTAAAACACTTGAATCGGGATGAAAAATTGGAGAGGATCTATTTACCCTGCCACCACCCGTTTAGTTTGACTCATCTCTGAAGTGCTTGTCACAATACATTTGATTTTTGGCTTGGATGACAAATTACGCTGACTTTTATGATCTCGACTTGTGAATCTTTTGCATTATCTCTACTTTGAAACTCTCTGGGTCAAAATGTTGTCTTCACAGTAATGGAGTGAAAGGAAAGATAGAAAGGTAGAGTTTTCCCTGTGAATTTTGCACATGAACACAACACACATGCACACAGAAATCTCAAAGTAAGAATCCCAAATTATAAACTCTAATTCCAGGGTTAAGTATACAAATGTACCCGCACAACAAACATTGTATACCTAACTCTGAATTGTACCCTACAATTTCAAAATAAAAATTAAAAGAGAGAGAAAGAGAAAAAAAGAATTCCAAATTATCCCCTACCTTTCAGGCTAGAATAAAAGTTATTCCACAAGCTTAGTGCCCTGGCGTGTTTTAGTTGGAAAGGACCTGACCTTAGAACAGTTGACTCAACAGGTTCCCTATTATTTAATTTCCTATCATTACCACACAACACTTTTGGTTCAAGTCACCCTTAATTATAATGCATCCAGGATATTCTCACATGTAAAGTTTATTGATGATTTAATTACAACAACTTCATTTAAAAATTGCCCACAGAATCAAAGTTTCTTCGACTTTATCTGTAAAATGATGGAATTAGCATAAATGATGATCAAGTTAAAAATGTATAATAATATATGATATTTTCTGATGACTAGATACAGTAATAACCTAGAATTCTACAGGAGGGCTTGCATGTAGGACCTGGTGATTATGGACACTATTATCTAGAGTAAGGCATTCTTTTTTCCTTTCAATATTAAAATAAAGAAATAAAAGGATTTTGCTTATCATTTTAACTTTTTTTGTCTGCTCTATTCATAATTTAAAGTTTGAAATTAAGGTTTCTTATTTTGCTATTATTTTTGGCAAACACATTTATGTTAGTTTTTTCTTATAAAACCTAGATGGCGTTTTTACACTTGTCCCAGCAACCGGAATTTTCCCATAATCTCTTTCTCTTTAGTTTTCTCTTTGTTGGTTCTATGCATAGTTCTTTCAACTAGTCATTATATATAAAAGGTTTCCAAGTCCTTAACTATATTCTTGCTTCCTATGCCAGGCCTTAATTGTCTACAAGCTTTCCAGAAGTTTGTGATTCTGTACCGATCACTTGAATTATCAGGGGTTTTAAAAAGTGGCCTTAAATTTTTTTTTCCCTTAAAAATAATAGGCATCTTGTGTTGGGATGTGGTAGGGGGCTTTAGGAAATGTTTTAAAACATGTATTACAATAAAAATGTTCCAGTTTCTTAAAGCAAAACGCCGTGTTTAGTACCTGTAGCTAAAACCACGGACAAGCCCCTTACTGTAACGCCTGGCTTAGTGCCTGCGGCCAAAACCACAAGATTGTGCTGTTGTTACAAAAAGAACAAAACCTTACATCATGAAAAGCCCCTTCCTCCCAAAGGCAATGTAAAACCTATATAAGCTGAGACCCTGCTGTGATCGAGGGCCATCGAGGTCCAACCTTTGTGACCAGAGTCGACTGGAGTGCGCTGGGCTGAACGCCAGCGTTCCAGTAATAAACACAGCTTTCTGCTTATCAGCCTCGGTGTCATGGTCTCTCTGATTTGTTTTCCTGAAACACTCCCTGGTGTGTTGGTCAGGAAAGTGGAGAGTTCAGAGGTGGTGTTTGCCATCTCTCTTGTCACGGGGATACAACCCCCAGGGGCGACGGGAGAGGCCACATTGCTTGGCAAAACAGAACAGATTTGCTTTCCTGCAACAGGAATTGTGTAAAGAAAGGCAGTGAGATAAATGCAGTATTGGGGAAACCATTATTTTATTTTTATTTTTATAAGCCTCGCCCTGGGAAAACCATCTTTGTGATTGGGAAACCATTTTTAAACAAGCTAGGATAGCCAGGCTCGGTGGCTCAGCCTGTAATCCCACGCCTTTGGGAGACTGAGGTGAGTGGATTGCCTGAGCCCGCGGATTCGAGACCCGCCTGGGCAACTTGGCGAGACCTCATCTTTACAATAAATAAAAAAATCAGCCAGGTGTGATAGCACGTGATAGCCTTCTGGCTACTCGGAAGGCTGAGGCAGAAGGATCGCTGGAGCCCAGCAGGTTGAGGCTTTGGTGGCCGGGAGCGTCCACTGCACTCTAGTCTGGGTGACAGAGTGAGACTCCAACTCAAAAAAACAAACAAACAACAACAAAAAAAACAAGCTAGGATGGAGTGATTAATTCAGATTTAAGGGAAAAGTGATGTGTTGGTTTTAAATATGACGTAGTTTTTGTTGATAAGGATATTTCTTGGTAGATATTGCTTTAGAGATTCCAAAATTACTTTTACATGTTATCAAAGACAAAGTGTTTTATACGTAAATTTTAATGGTTTTTAAAAAAATACTTCCAATTCTTTAGGTTTATCCTGTGATCCTACTTTTATCCTGAGCTATGCTCCATGCAATGTGATCTGCTCCATTATTTTCCGGAATCGTTTTGACTATAAGGATCAGAATTTTCTTAGCTTGCTGAAAAAACTAGATGAAAACCTCAGGATTATGAGCTCCCCATGGATCCAGGTGAGATCAAGAGCCTTTTTCCCTAAGATATTATTTATATTGTTTCCTCTGACAAGTCAAACATTTGATATGCATGGAGCTGTGAGGTGAATGTTTTAAAACAGGAAATTTTGGATGCTATAATGTGGTAGCTGTGGAAATGACTTTTAAGAATTATTTTTGTAAAGTCTGTACTCTTTGTCATGTGTGGTCTCAAAGGTCTTTGTTTCTTTAGCTAATGCTCAGTTAGTTTTGACAGGAATTTCCTTGAATGTGAAAAGCTGAGAGAGAGAGAGAGAGAGAGAGAGAGAGAGAGAGAGAGAGAGGAAAGATGGAAGGAAGGAAGAAAAGAAAGAAACAAAGGAGGGAAGGAAGGAAGGAAACTCTTTCAGACTGATTCTGTGCTGGAGCACTCCTTATCATATCCTTCATTTGCTGCTTAAGCTGAGCCCAGATATTAGCCTGAGATAAAAATTTAGGGTCTTCTCAGGTCTTTTGTTGTCCTGTGTCCTGCGCTAGGCATGTTCATAGCTTTCTAAATTCCTCAGTATATGTTGCATTTTAAAATGTCCTACTTTTCCAAAGTAACTGTCTCCCCAGCTTTTAGTTCCAGGATTTTACTGTTCTACTATGTGTCTGAACTCTAATTTTTTTTTGCCCCATGTGGCTTTGGGTTGTTCATTTGTCTTAGAAACTTAAAAAAAAAACCCCCATTGTTTTTCTGTCTTGAATGAATTCTGAATCAGGTGAAACAAAAACGAATGCCCTTGTTAGCCCTTCAGGTAGTCCTGGGACAGGTTCGATACAGGAACAGAATTCATCACAAGTAAGGTCTTTTCTGGTCCTTCTGGAATAAGAAACCAAAATCTTACACTGGAAACAGGGTTTCCCTTGTCAAGGCCACTGCCAAGCTGATAAGGGAGGTGGGACAAAGACATATAAAAATATGATAAAATTTTCTTTCTTTTCTTTTTTTGAGTTGGAGTCTCACTGTCGCCCAGTCTGGAGTGCAGTGGCCGCTCCCAGCCACCGCAGCCTCGATCTGCTGGGCTCCGGCAATCCTTCCGCCTCAGCCTTCCAAGTAGCTGGAATTACAGGGCGCGCTACCACACCCGGCTAATTTTTTGATTTATTGTAGAGATGAGGTCTCGCCAAGTTGCCCAGGCGGGTCTCAGGCAATCCACTCACCTCAGCCTCCCAAAGCGTGGGATTACAGGCTGAGCCACTGAGCCCGGCTAAAAATGTTCATTTTTAAATTGCCTGTTTTTTGAGGGGGGGGGATGTTTTTCTCTTGGCTACATTAAACCTTTGTTTTTCAGAGTTCTATCAAAGTTTATTCTGACTGTTTTTGCTGAATTTTTTTGATGTTTTTGTCGCTGTACCGTTCCTTGGAGCTTTCTATGGTGCCATTCTTGCTGACACCACTCTGTGAAGTGAATGGTTGAACACCATAGTTCTGTCTGGATCTTAGCATTGTGGAGTTATCACCTGGAAGATAGCGGATTCTTTTTTAACAGACAAGAAAAAGGAATTTCCAGAAATAGAGCTGCAATTTAAGCACGTTGGCGAGTGGTTTTTTCCACCAAACCCCCAAGCCCAGTTTCCAAGCAGTACTTTCGTGACTGCCCAAAAGCATACTCATAGAACTTAATAGAGATCCAAAGCCCTTGTTGAAAAGCTAGCAGTACCCACAGGCTTTGTATGCGCAGTCAAATCCTCCAATCAGCACCTAGAGACTTCATCACATGACTGGGTAGAAGTATGCATATTTAGGGTACCAAGGGGGAGAATGTTTGGTATCACAGATGATGCCAGAAAACTTGAATAGGGTAGAGGTTTTGATGCTTCTTCTGGGATCTGGTTGACAAGGTAATTAGGATTAAGATGACAACATGATTTGGTTTGGGTCTGTATGGACCATAAGCAAACATCACACTTTCTCCCTGTGCTGACCTGGCAAGTCTGGCGATCTGCCTAAAAGAGAACTGTGTGATTTTTACAGAAGTAACTTGACTGCTCTGGTGCAAGTGTCCTTATTCATATACTGAGTTGGCCTTTATGGGATCTTTGTAGCCCTTCCTCTTATAAAATGGTGGTTCTACTTCTGAGGTTTCTTGCTAGTAGCAGTAATAACAGGGAGTGGCTTTGCAGTCTATTTCAGTTTGCCCAGACTTTCTTAACCTTGATTCTCATTCACAAAATGTGAATTAAATCAATTCATGCTATTGAACGCTTCAAGGCTGTAAAGAAGAATTAATGTAAAAAATGAGGGAATTTACAAAAAGATGATTTCATATTCTAAAAACAATATATGAATATAGGAAATGATCATCTTTGATTCTCTGTTCAGAAGTTCGCCTTTAAATCTTTCTACAGCATAGATGATTACTTTGTATGTACAATCAAATTCTTCTGTAAGAGGAGACCATTATTTATTCACTCCAGTCTTTTTTTTTTTACTCCAGTCTTAAACCAGCAATTGACATATGGCACATATTTTAATACCTGTGTTTAATTTAATTAATATATTTTTCAAATCTTTAAGGTCTGCAATAATTTTCCTGCTGTTATTGATTATCTCCCAGGAAGTCATAACACAATACTTAAAAATTTTGCTTCTGTTAAAAATTATGTTTTGGAGAAAATAAAAGAGCATCAAAAATCCTTGGACAATAATAATCCTCAAGACTTCATTGATTGTTTCCTGATCAAAATGGAAGAGGTAAAATGCTATCTGTTTGCCTGTATTTGTGATTCATTTTTTAGCTCTGTAACTGATTACCTAAAGGGTCAGTTAAGAAACATTTGATAAGTGCTTTAAGTACTTATTATATATATGGATCTAAACTAAGCATCACGGAAGATTTAAAATTGAATTGTTAAGCAATTAGAATTTATGAGCATTGTATTCTATCAATTCTTTGTATTGTATCTATTAGGTACTAGTAATCTGAGGAAAGACAGAATGCTCACCTCAGGTGAAATGGAAATAAAAATAAGTTAGAAAATGCAAAATATGAAGTCATAAAATGAAGATTTATAAATTCATATCATGCAGTGATATGAGTAAGAAAGAAGGATTTATAGAAGGACCTGGGTGGGTCTCCTGCATGTCTTGAGGTTTGATATAGCTCTTAAGGAATTTGCAGTGATCCACAGGGCAGTGGATTTCAGATGGGTAGAATGGGGTGATGAGAGGTTCAGAGGTGTGTGGTAGCAAAGAAATGGAGGAGAGAAGCATTCATTGGGTGGAACTAAAACTAAACCTGGACAGATATGGAGTTAGAGGTGTCTGTAACCTGCAAACCTGAGTGTTGGTATGGAGAGTTTTGATTTGATCAGGTATATGTGGAAACCTGGATTAGAGTGAAATGCAGATAATTTTTAGGGAAAATAATCCTGTGAGCTTTGTAGAATGACATATACAATGAGAATAAAGCTCAAGGACCAAGAATAAGATTTTTCATGTCTTTGAAGTTTGGCTTGCAGAAAGTGTGGGCCTAAAAATACAGATTCTGAAATAAAGCCAAGTTGTCCATTTTGTCATATTGTTAAAGATCTATGGACATGACTTTTAATTAGAGAAGTGGATGGGAGTCAAATGGTGGAAGCTCTGTGGGAAATTTCAGTAATGAGACCAGACAGCCTATTTGGTGGGAAAGATTTGGGTGGTGAATTTGAATAGTGGTACAGTTCATTTGGAAATTGAGTGAAAAGGGCAATACACATATCAGAAAGACACTTGTATAGGTGCAAATTCCTCCTTGAACTGGGGAGGGGCTCAGTCCAGAACAGGCCGAAAAGGACTAACTCTAGACAAAAACATCCTTTCTCTGAGGTCACCATTATTTTTTATTTTTTATTTTTTGAGTTGGAGTCTCACTCTGTCGCCCAGACTGGAGTGCAGTGGCCGCTCCCAGCCACCGCAGCCTCGACCTGCTGGGCTCCGGCGATCCTTCCGCCTCAGCCTTCCAAGTAGCCGGAATTACAGGCATGCGCTACCATGCCCGGCTGATTTTTTGATTTGTTGTAGAGATGAGGTCTCACTGCCCAGGCGGGTCTCGAACCCACGGGCTCAGGCAATCCACTCACCTCAGCCTCCCAAAGGCGTGGGATTACAGGCTGAGCCACTGAGCCCGGCTTCACCATTATTTTAATCAACCACTTTGTAATATTGGGCAGGAATGAGGAATCGTTCTGTAGGTGAAACTGTCAAGGAGTCAGCGATGCTGACGATGACTTTCAAAGTTACGCAACTTGAGCAGGACTGCTCAAATGAAGAGTTTTAGGTGGAGTAAAGTTAATATATAGAATAGTTTTAGAAACCGGAGGAATGCAGAAGCAAATTATTCCCATTCTCTGTCGTCTCTGCTGCCATCAGTGTGTTCTTATCTTTTGGGGACTTCAATTCATTTGAGAATCTCATTAAAATATGGACACCTTAACAGAAGAATGCACCTATTTAGTTCTCCATTTTTACACACACTTGGAGGCTTTTCCTTAATGCTATAAAGCTCTCCATTAATGTCAGGTTAAGAAGGACACCAAGGTCTCTGGTATTTCACTTACTTGTGGCTAATTCCTCAATACACTGTAGTATTTAGAGGGTTTTTTTGGGGGAGGAATGGATACCATTTTTATTGAGTATAGTTCAAATATTGCACCCTTCATATATTTTATGTACAATTCAGTGGTTTTAGTATTTTCACAGAGATGTTCAATGATTACCACAGTAAATTTTGGAATATTTCTATCACCCTGAAGGGACAACTGTATGGATAACAGTCAACCCCTATCATCACCCAACTCTCTGGCTCCAGACAACAGAAATCTACTTTTTGTCTCTATAGACTTGCAATTCTGGACAGTTTTATATATATATATAAATAATTGTACAGTAAGTGGTCTTCTGTGTCTGGCTTCGTTCACTTAGCATAATGTTTTTTAAGATTCATTGACACTATAGTACATATCAGCTTTGCACAGGGGCAGTATTGTAGTCAGTGAGGTTTATCCGAGGCGTGATCAATGCTAATTGAAGACTTTTCCCAGTACCCCACCATGACAGCTTGAAATGTAGTTGACATTGGCAATTTTTGACAGTCTCTACAAAGACTGAATAAAAAAATAAGAAAATAGCACATATAAGTGTCTCATTCCTTTAAATGGTTGACTAATATTTCAATGTGAGTATATCACATTTTATATTTCCATTCATTGGTTGATGGACACTTTGTATCTTTTTTTGTGTGGCTATTACGAATAATGCTGGCCTGGACATTTATGTACAACTTAAAAAAAACTTTATTATAAAGATATGGGGTACAAATCAGAGTCAGGCACATAAATATTCTTTTTTTTGAGTTGGAGTCTCACTCTGTCGCCCAGACTGGAGTGCAGTGGCCACTCCCGGCCACCGCAGCCTGGACCTGCTGGGCTCCGGCGATCCTTCCGCCTCAGCCTTCCAAGTAGCTGGAATTACAGGCATGCGTTACCACGCCCGGCTGATTTTTTGGTTTATTGTAGAGATGAGGTCTCGCTGCCCAGGCGGGTCTCGAACCCGCGGGCTCAGGCAATCCACTCACCTCAGCCTCCCAAAGGCGCGGGATTATAGGCTGAGCCACCGAGCCCGGCTGCACATAAATATTCTACATGCAAGTGAAGTTTGGGCCTCTCACTGGTCCGTACCTCCCCTGGTTTAGGATCAAGTATCTTTTGTGTTGTTACATGCCACCCCCTACTTGCTCCCTCCCCGGCAGTGTCCCGTGACTGCTGATCCCTCCCTTGTGCTGTTGTGATTCATGTTCAGGTCCCACTTATGAATGAGAACATGTGGTATTTGGTTCTTTGTTTCTGTGATAGATCGCTAAGAATGATTGTCTTCAATTCCATCCATTTTGCTGAGAAGTCCATGATTTTGTATTTCTTTATGGCTGCGTAAAATCCCTCCGTGTATATGTTCCACATTTTCTTTATCTAGTCTGCTTTCGATGGGTAATAGGGTTGGTTCATGTTTTTACTATTGTGAATAGGTCAGCAATAAACATGTGTGTGCAGGTGTCCTTTTTTTGTAGAATAATTTGTTTTCCTCCAGGTATATTCCCAGGAGGGGGATTGCTGGATCATATGGAAAGCCAATTTCTAGTTCCTTTAAATATTGCTGTGCCATTTCCCATAGAGGTTGGATTAGTTTGCACTCCCACAGACAATGTAGAAGCATCTCTTTTTCTCTGCACCCACACCAGCATCTATTGTTTTTTGATTTATTAATGATGACCATCCTTACTGGGGTAAGTGGTATCTCAGTGTGGTTTTGATTTGCATTTCTATGATGATTAGTTAGGTTGAGCCTTTTTTCATGTATCTGTTGGCTGCTCATATGTCTTCTTTTGAGAAGTGTCTATTCATGTTCTCTGTCCATTTTTAAAAATAGGCTTGTTTGTTTTGTTCCTTTCAGCTCATTTGAGTTCTTAGTGGATCCTGAATGTCAGGCCTTTGTCAGCTACACAGTTAGCAGATATATATTTTTTTCATTCCGTTGGTTGTTTCCCCACTTTCTTGATGGTTTCTTTTGCTGTGCAAAAGTTTTTCAGTTTGATGAGGTCCCATTTGTCTTTTATGGCATATGTTTTGGGGATTTGATCAAGAACTGGTTATCTACACCAATGTGCATAAGGGTGTCTCCTGTGTTTTCTTCTAAGATACTTATAGTTTGATTAGTTTGATGTTTTATGCTTAGTTCTTGGTCCATTTTGAATTGATTTTTGTGTATGGTGATAGGTGGGGGTCCTCTTTCAGTCTTCTGCATGTGTCAGCCAACTCCCAGGATCATTTGCTAAATAAGGTCTCCTCTCCCCGTGGTGGTTGTTGATGGCTTTTTTTGGGTGGCTATTATGAATAATGCTGGCATAGACATTTGTGTACAACTTTTTGTGTATACAGATGTTTTCATCTCTCTTGGGTATATACCTGACAGTGGACTGCTGGATCATATAGTAATTCTGTGTTTAACCTGTGGAGAAACTATGGCCGGAGCAAAGATCTAAATGTAAGATAAAAATATAAAACTCTTAGAAAATGTAGGCATGAAATTAGCTACACCATTTTGTATCGTCCCTGCAGTGTTTGAGGGCTCCATTTTTTCTATAGCCTCACTCATTCCTCTTATCTGTCTTTTGGAGTCCAATCATCCTTGCTGGGGAAAGGAGGTCTCATTTTGGTTTGCTTTGCATGTCCCTGAAGCTAATGATCTTTCCATATGGGGTTACTGGCAATTTGTATATCTCTTTGGAAAATAACATATTCAGATCCTTTGTCCATTTTAAAATTGGATTATTATAATTTTTAAAATTATTGTGATGGAAAAGTGTTTAGAAGAGGGGACCCCAACAAACTCAGACTTTATTTATAAAAACGTGTGTATTTATTCTACATGTTTAAATTTCAGTCACCCTCAAAGTACTCTGTTTGATGCAATATACCTATCAAGACGCTTTTTCCAGTGCTCAAAACTCGTCACTTTTGATGTCCTTCGGTGTTCCTGCCGTTTTTTGTTTCACCCTTTACATGTGGGCAAAATGTTTTCCTTTGAGGATCTTTTGATCTGAGGAAACAAAAGAGGTTGCGCTGGTCACGATCAGGTTAATAGAGAGAGTGGGACACGGGGGACATGCCATTTTTGGTCAAAAACTGCTGAACACTCAGCGTGGTGTGGGCACTCAG